TGTTTGTGGATGATTGTGAAGAGAGTGAAGAGTTATGTTGTGGCCCTACTGGGCTGAGGTGGATGGTAGAGGTTCTGGTACTGAAGTCGATGGTTATACTGGAGTGTCATTCAGTCAGTCAGTCAAGTCATTCAGTAAGTCAGTCAGTCAGTCAGTCAAGTCATTCAGTCAGTCAGTCAAGTCAGTAAGTCAGTCAAGTCACTCAGTCAGTCAGTCAGTCAGTAAGCCAGTCAGTCATTCAGTAAGTCAGTCAGTCATTCAGCAAGTCAGTCATTCAGTCAGTTAGTCACACAAACTAATGTTTACCTCTTTTTCTGTGTACAAAGTAACACTTCATTATGGCAACAGGTTATCTCTTGTTTAATAACTTTGTTAATTCTAAGACTTAAGTGCTTATACCTCTTCGTGCCACTTTCAGCAATGCTGGTATGGCGACTGGGTGTCATGATCGCTTGGCAGATACAAGATATAATAATTAAAATATCATAACACAATTCACAAACATAGCCGCCTTGTAGCAGAGAAAGACTGGACACACATGAATTACGAACACTGGGATGGTGGGGTGGTGTCGGGGAGTGGCAGGGGATGGTGGGAGGGCTCCCCGGCTGCTCCACAACAAGGCGGCCGCTTGAGCAAAAGAGAATTTTTTTTTCCTTCCCACAAACTGAACCAGGTTAAATTAATTATATGTGTTACATAAAATTGTGTCGCAATTCTTCAATCGTGCATTACCCAAATCGTGCCAAATAAACTTGTGCTAAATGATGGTCTACTGTACATGGCTTGGCAACTAGATAACTGACAGTGAATAATTTTGATATGATCTTGCTATTACCATTCTGGGCGATTCCATGTATTTTGGGAATGTATGATTACCCTGTTGTGTTGGCTATACACAATAATATACAGAGACTATGGGATCCTTTTTTTACTGTGGTAAAAAAGCTTGATCCAGTATAAGAGCAGCATTTAGAAGCATTTGCAGGGACCCCCAAGAGGCAATCCTCCCTAACACTGGTCTTTCCTATAGTGGAAAGAAAATGGTTGACCTGCATATATTCAATCCTTTCTTGAGGAAATGACACCAACCTTCAGGGCATGTGCCATTAACCCTTTGAGGGTTTTGGTCGTACTAGTACGTCTTACGCGTAGGGGTTTTTGTCGTACTAGTATGCATAAATTCTAGCGGCCTCAAATCTCACAGGAAAAGGCTGATAAGCCTAGATGTGAGAGAATGGGTCTGTGTGGTGGGTGTGCGCAGTAGGAAAAAAATCTGGGACCCAGTGGTGCATTGTGGGAATGCCATCATAGTACACAATTTCCACCATGCCCTGTGGTAAGAAGTTCCTCACTCCTCGGCGAATTGGACACTTTTGTTCCCCAGTGGGCAGTTCTAATACAGATGGAAGTGACAGTGAAGATGAGTTTCAAGGTTCTGGTGAGGTTTTGACCGAAACTAATGACCATTTAATATGGGTAATAGTGAGGAAAACCCAGGGCAACCCACGCCTTCCACCTCTGGTGCTGGGCCATCTTGTTCACGTTCAGTTGTACCAGAATCAAAGAGGAAACTCCTATTTTCCAAAATCCCAGACTCAGATGTGAGCATTGGTGATGATAGTGATAGTGATTATGAACTACAAGCTCTTCAAACTTGTTCCAAGAATGGAGGAGGAGGAGGAGGCAGAGGAGGAGGAGGCAAGAGGAGGAGGAGGCAAGAGGAGGAGGAGGCAAGAGGAGGAGGAGGCAGGGAGGGGGAGAGGAGGAGGAGGAGGAGGAGGAGGAGGGGAGGAGGAGGAGGAGGAGGAGGAGGAGGAGGAAGAAGAGGAGGGAGGAGGAGGAGGAGGAGGAAGAAGAGGAGGAGGGGGAAAGGGAAGAAGAGGGAGGGGGAAGAAGAAGAATACGTAATGATAAAATAATACATAATAATAATACATAATAATAATAATACATAATAATAATACATAATAATAATAATACATAATAATAATACATAATAATAATAATAGGTAATAATAAATGTTCACCCATGACAGTAACAAGATAAGGGGAGATAACATCTGATAAGTGCTGACGTTTGATGAGGGTAAATGAGGGTAGAGCTGATGCCAAAAGATGAGATAAACATCTCCCTCCCTATGTTTTTGCTGGTATACTAACATTTCTGTCTGTCTATTTGCCTGTCTGTCAAGCTCCCTGTCTATCCGTCTAGCTCTCTGTCTCAGAGAGCCACAAGACTGTGTCATCACTTTTACTCACATCTTCAAGCAGAGTATAGCACTTTGTCTGGGTTTCTTGGGTTATCCTAGGTAATTTATACTATGTATACTTGTTGTTAAGGAAGTAAATGCTAGGGTGTTTGGGAGAGGGGTGGGATTAAATTATGGGGAATCAAATTCAAAATGGGAATTGACACAGTTACTTTTTGCTGATGATACTGTGCTTATGGGAGATTCTAAAGAAAAATTGCAAAGGTTAGTGGATGAGTTTGGGAATGTGTGTAAAGGTAGAAAGTTGAAAGTGAACATAGAAAAGAGTAAGGTGATGAGGGTGTCAAATGATTAGATAAAGAAAAAATTGGATATCAAATTGGGGAGGAGGAGTATGGAAGAAGTGAATGTTTTCAGATACTTGGGAGTTGACGTGTCGGCGGATGGATTTATGAAGGATGAGGTTAATCATAGAATTGATGAGGGAAAAAAAGGTGAGTGGTGCGTTGAGGTATATGTGGAGTCATAAAAAACGTTATCTATGGAGGCAAAGAAGGGAATGTATGAAAGTATAGTAGTACCAACACTCTTATATGGGTGTGAAGCTTGGGTGGTAAATGCAGCAGCGAGGAGACGGTTGGAGGCAGTGGAGATGTCCTGTTTAAGGGCAATGTGTGGTGTAAATATTATGCAGAAAATTCGGAGTGTGGAAATTAGGAGAAGGTGTGGAGTTAATAAAAGTATTAGTCAGAGGGCAGAAGAGGGGTTGTTGAGGTGGTTTGGTCATTTAGAGAGAATGGATCAAAGTAGAATGACATGGAAAGCATATAAATCTATAGGGGAAGGAAGGCGGGGTAGGGGTCGTCCTCGAAAGGGTTGGAAGAGGGGGTAAAGGAGGTTTTGTGGGTAAGGGGCTTGGACTTCCAGCAAGCGTGCGTGAGCGTGTTAGATAGGAGTGAATGGAGACGAATGGTACTTGGGACCTGACGATCTGTTGGAGTGTGAGCAGGGTAATATTTAGTGAAGGGATTCAGGGAAACCGGTTATTTTCATATAGTCGGACTTGAGTCCTGGAAATGGGAAGTACAATGCCTGCACTTTAAAGGAGGGGTTTGGGATATTGGCAGTTTGGAGGGATATGTTGTGTATCTTTATATGTGTATGCTTCTAGACTGTTGTATTCTGAGCACCTCTGCAAAAACAGTGATAATGTGCGAGTGTGGTGAAAGTGTTGAATGATGATGAAAGTATTTTCTTTTTGGGGATTTTCTTTCTTTTTTGGGTCACCCTGCCTCGGTGGGAGACGGCCGACTTGTTGAAAAAAAAAAAAAAAAAAAAAAAAAATACTTGTATTTATGTGTACCTGTGAGACAGAGATAAAAAGACAGATAGAATGAGGGACAAAGATAATTAGATAGAATGGAGGAAGGGAAGCAGCATCCGACCCCATTGTTTTGACAGGCGGGAGGGGGGAGTGAGTAATGAGACAATATGTCATTTTGACAGCTGCCGACTCCTGGTAATTTACACTATGGAGGAGAAGGAGAAGGAGGAAGAGTAGGGGGAAGAGGAAGAAGAGGAGGAAGAGGAGGAGGAGGAAGAGTAATAAGAGGAAGAGGAGGAGGAAGAGGAATAGTAGGAGGAAGATTAGGGGGAAGAGGAGGAAGAGGAAGAAGAGGAGGAGGAGGAGGAGGAGGAAGAGTAGGAGGAGGAGGAAGAGTAGGAGGAAGAGGAAGAAGAGGAGGAGGAGGAAGAGGAGGAGGAGGAAGAGGAAGAGTAGGAGGAAGAGGAAGAGTATGAGGAAGAGTAGGGGGAAGAGGAGGAAGAGTAGGGGGAAGAGGAGGAAGAGGAAGAAGAGGAGGAGGAGGGTGGAACACTAGTACACTGGTACTGGTACACTAACATTTCTGTCTGTCTATTTGTCTGTCTGTCAAGCTCCCTGTCTATCTGTCTATCCGTCTAGCTCTCTGTCTCAGAGAGCCACAAGACTGTGTCATCACTTTTACTCACATCTTCAAGCAGAGTATAGCACTTTGTCTGGATTTCTTGGGTTATCCTAGGTAATTTATACTATGTATACTTGTATTTATGTGTACCTGTGACACAGAGATAGACAGACAGATAGAAAGAGAGAGACAGATTGAAAGAGATAGAATGAGGGAGAAAGATAAAACACCATTGTGTATGACACCATGTTTCAGAGTTCCACAAGCTGCAGAACTAATAGGAATATGTTCAGTGACTGTATATTGGTATATATATTATAGAACAATAATAATAAACAATGTTTTGTATTGTTTGTTTTTGTAAACAAGTTTTGTAAACAATATATTGATAATTATGTTTGTGTGCTTATTGTGTTGTATACAACGAGTGTATATATGTACATTGCACCTTACTTTGGTCTCATAGGCCACATAAGTTATGTGAAATAATAAAATAGTGAAAAAAACAACAAACCTTCAAATACAAGTAAATCAAAGTTTACCGGGTGAGCGGCAGTCGCCGCTGTTGCCATACGCGGCTCATTTTCTGCAAACTTCATGCATCCATATCTCCGTAAGTATTGATGGTAAATTTTTTTTGTTTATCCTATAATGTTTTGAAATTTGGCCGACCCTGAGAACGAGTTTCGGAGAGGGCCTGTCGACCCTCAAAGGGTTAATTTTCTGATATTTCAACAGCCTATTAGCACAGAAAAAATGTTTTTACAAAGTAATTATATATAAACATACCTAATATACTTTAAATTTCATGTGGTATGGAACAGTAAATAGGTTTCCTGACCTGTGTCCGGTACACCATGCTACCACTGTGGGGACTCGGCAGATGCTGATTGCATGAAGAACACACTGTCTGCTCACATTCCATACACACACCCTTTGATCCAAGGATGCACTGTTAAATAAAACTGTATTAAAATATTATAAGTGCAACAATACAGAGTGACACTATTAAAAATGAAAGTAATAAGTAGTGAGTCCCAACTTTATGAGTACATGTACATATTCACTTTACTAGAATCTCATTTCACAAGTGTGAGATACAGTGGAACCTCGGTATGCGACCTTAATTCATTCCAGAAGGCTGTTCGAGTGCTGCTCTGTTTGAGTACCGAACAAGTTCTTCCCAACCAATTTTCTGTTTGGTTGGCTGTTATCACTAATCTTCATAGGCCCCATGGTAACTTATTTATACAAATACTGTAATACAGAAAAACACCAAAAAATGCGAAGAAATGCAAAATTGTTTACAGCAATATTCTGGCAGGTCGTATTTGTTTAGTCGAGTGCTGAGCTTTGTTAGAGTAATGAGCTGGTCGTATACCGAGGTTCCACTGTACAGTGGACCCCCGCATAACGATCACCTCCGAATGCAACCAATTATGTAAGTGTATTTATGTAAGTGCGTTTGTACGTGTATGTTTGGGGGTCTGAAATGGACTAATCTACTTCACAATATTCCTTATGGGAACAAATTCGGTCAGTACTAGCACCTAAACATACTTCTGGAGAGAAAAAATATCGTTAACCGGGGGTCCACTGTATTAGAGAATAAATCTGTGTACTGATTGCATAATTTTATTAAGTGAGTGTTACTCACACATCAATCACTAGCCTGAGACTAACATGTGGCTCTCTGCTTAGCTCATCCACTTTTTTAGCATTTGCTTTGAAACAGATATAATTTGGAACTAATGCAAGCTACAATGTATCTGAAGTACAATTTTATTTAAAAAAAAGTATGATTTTATTTAAAAAAAAAGTACAATTTTATTTAAAAAACCACAATTTTATTTAAAAAAGTACAATTTTATTCCAAAAAATATAATTTTATTTCAAAAATGTTTTACTATCATATTCGTTCACATTATTGCAAAATTACCACTCTCTAGCTGTCTTTTCATAAGAGCATGAAGATTACAATTCTATTAATTCACTCACTGAAATCCAATACTAATTGAATGTACCTAATTAAGAGTGTTCAATAAAAATTATACAAAACTAGTACATGCTTCCTAATCTAGAATCTCACCACTAACTCTTAGACAATCTAATTTCCTTCCTTTGGTTTCTCACTTCATTTTTCTCCCCAAAGCTGCTTTTTATTCTCTACAAAAGAGGGAATGAGCAGTTAAGAAATCAATATATTCCTGTTTTTATATCTCTCTTTAGAGAGACATAAAAACAGGAATAAGAAAAGCAAAATGGGATTATGAGGCTAAAGCTGCAAGGGATTCCAAGACAAACCCAAAAGGATTCTCTTTCAGGTATACAGAAGATTAGGGACAAGGCAGGCCCACTTAAGAGTAACTCAGGTCAGATCACTCCCAGTGATAAGGAAATGTGTGAACTTTTCAACACTTACGTCCTCTCAGTTTTTACTCAGGATGATACTAGTGAAATTCCAAAAATAATAAATTATGTAGAACAGGACGATAATAAACTACGCACGATTGGGGTAACTAGTGACGTGGTCCTCAGGCAAATAGAGAAATTAAAACCTAACAAATTCCCAGACCCTGATGAACTGTTTACAAGGGTTTTATAAGAATGTAAGGTGGAACTTAGCATACCTTTCACTAATCTTTTCAACATATCATTACAAACTGGCACAGTGCCAGACAAGTGGAAAATGGCAAATGTAATACCTATTCACAAGGCAGGTGACAGGTCCTTAGCTTCAAACTATAGACCAATAAGCCTTACCTCCATAGTGTGAAAATTTATGGAATCAATAATTGTTGAGGCAATTCATAGCCATCTTGAAAGGCATAAATCGATTAATGAATCTTAGCATGATTTTACAAAGGGGCATCCCTGTCTTACGAATTTATTTTTTTCACTAAGGTATTTAAGGAGGTAGATCATGGCACTGAATATGATATTCTGTATATGGACTTCAGTAAGGTTTTCAACAGAGTTCCACATGAAAGGCTATTGAGGACACTTAACCCTTTCAGGGTCCAAGGCCCAAATCTGGAGTCACGCACCAGTGTCCAAGAATTTTCAAAAAAAAAATTTGTTATTTTTTCTTATGAAATCGTAGAGAATCTTTTTGTGAAGGTAATAAAACAAAAAGTACGAAATTTGGTGGAAAATTGACGAAATTATGCTCTCGCGAATTTTGATGTGTCAGCGATATTTACGAATCGGCGATTTTGCCGACTTTGACTCCCATTTTAGGCCAATTACATTATTCCAATCAACCAAATTCTTAGCTATTTCACTAGTATTACTTCTATTCTATCGATTGAGCACAAGAAATCGCCAAGTCAACTGTTTCAACTACAAAATAAAGTGATCGGAAATTGTTAATTTGGCCAATTTAACACAAAGTTCAAAATATTCCAATTTCAAAATAGGGTCCAGAATGAACAATGTAGGCATTCCTGGCACTAAACTAACATTTCCTCTGTTCATTAGTTATGTTTTGTGGCTTTACAAATAAATTTCATTTTGATTTTTTATTCACATAATGAATTTTTATTCACACCAAAAAATAGAAGATTTACTGTTATGCAATACTGTAATAATTGTATAAATATCATCACCATATTTGTGAATGTATATTAGACCCACCAGCTGACGTGTATTAGATGTGTGAGGTCGTTTGTTTACTCTTGAATATCGGCAAAAATTTAACATTTCTGCTACTTTGAGCTCAGTTTCAAGCCATTTCTAGTGCTAAAACCAATCAAAATCATCTCTATTTCTGTAATATGTCTTCCATTCTATCAAATGAGACCAAGAAATCGCAAATACAACTATAAAAAACATACGAAAAAACACTGCAAAGTTGCTGTTTTAATCGAAAAATCATGATTTCATTTTTTTCTCTCATTATACACAGTGTGCTGCAGGATCTGTTTTATGTGGTGCACATATACCACATAGATGTATTCTCTCATATCTAGGCCCAAATGTACCACTCACAGTTTATCAGAGTGAGCTGAGCTCATGGCGTAGATCTATGGTTTGGACCCTGAACGTAAAGCCGTAGATCTACGGGACGGACCCTGAAAGGGTTAAGACACACAGAATAGGAGGAGAAATTTTTTCCTGGGTAGAGGCATGGTTGACAAATAGGCAGCAGAGAGTTTGCATAAATGGGGAGAAATCAGAATAGGGGCACATCACAAGCGGTGTTCCACAGGGGTCAGTGTTGGGCCCTTTGTTGTTCACAATTTACATAAACGACATAGATAAGGGAATAAATAGCGACATAAACAAATTTGCTGATGACACCAAAATTTTTTTTTTTTTTTTTTCAACAAGTCGGCCGTCTCCCACCGAGGCAGGGTGACCCAAAAAAGAAAGAAAATCCCCAAAAAGAAAATACTTTCATCATCATTCAACACTTTCACCACACTCGCACATTATCACTGTTTTTGCAGAGGTGCTCAGAATACAACAGTCTAGAAGCTTAAACATATAAAGATACACAACATATCCCTCCAAACTGCCAATATCCCAAACCCCTCCTTTAAAGTGCAGGCATTGTACTTCCCATTTCCAGGACTCAAGTCCGACTATATGAAATAACCGTTTCCCTGAATCCCTTCACTAAATATTACCCTGCTCACACTCCAACAGATCGTCAGGTCCCAAGTACCATTCGTCTCCATTCACTCCTATCTAACACGCTCACGCACGCTTGCTGGAAGTCCAAGCCCCTTACCCACAAAACCTCCTTTACCCCCTCTCTCCAACCCTTTCGAGGACGACCCCTACCCCGCCTTCCTTCCCCTATAGATTTATATGCTTTCCATGTCATTCTACTGTGATCCATTCTCTCTAAATGACCAAACCACCTCAACAACCCCTCTTCTGCCCTCTGACTAATACTTTTATTAACTCCACACCTTCTCCTAATTTCCACACTCCGAATTTTCTGCATAATATTTACACCACACATTGCCCTTAAACAGGACATCTCCGCTGCCTCCAACCGTCTCCTCGCTGCTGCATTTACCACCCAAGCTTCACACCCATATAAGAGTGTTGGTACTACTATACTTTCATACATTCCCTTCTTTGCCTCCATAGATAACGTTTTTTGACTCCACATATACCTCAACGCACCACTCACCTTTTTTCCCTCATCAATTCTATGATTAACCTCATCCTTCATAAATCCATCCGCCGACACGTCAACTCCCAAGTATCTGAAAACATTCACTTCTTCCATACTCCTCCTCCCCAATTTGATATCCAATTTTTCTTTATCTAAATCATTTGACACCCTCATCACCTTACTCTTTTCTATGTTCACTTTCAACTTTCTACCTTTACACACATTCCCAAACTCATCCACTAACCTTTGCAATTTTTCTTTAGAATCTCCCATAAGCACAGTATCATCAGCAAAAAGTAACTGTGTCAATTCCATTTTGAATTTGATTCCCCATAATTTAATCCCACCCCTCTCCCAAACACCCTAGCATTTACTTCCTTTACAACCCCATCTATAAATATATTAAACAACCATGGTGACATTACACATCCCTGTCTAAGACCTACTTTTACCGGGAAGTAGTCTCCCTCTCTTCTACACACCCTAACCTGAGCCTCACTATCCTCATAAAAACTCTTTACAGCATTTAATAACTTACCACCTATTCCATATACTTGCAACATCTGCCACATTGCTCCTCTATCCACTCTATCATATGCCTTTTCTAAATCCATAAATGCAATAAAAACTTCCCTATCTTTATCTAAATACTGTTCACATATATGCTTCAATGTAAACACCTGATCTACACATCCCCTACCCACTCTAAAACCTCCTTGCTCATCCGCAATCCTACATTCTGTCTTACCTCTAATTCTTTCAATTATAACCCTACCGTACACTTTTCCTGGTATACTCAGTAAGCTTATTCCTCTATAATTTTTACAGTCTCTTTTGTCCCCTTTCCCTTTATATAAAGGGACTATACATGCTCTCTGCCAATCCCTAGGTACCTTCCCCTCTTTCATACATTTATTAAACAAAAGTACCAACCACTCCAACACTATATCCCCCCCTGCTTTTAACATTTCTGTCATGATCCCATCAGTTCCAGCTGCTTTACCCCCTTTCATTTTACGTAATGCCTCACGTACATCCCCCACACTTACATTCTGCTCTTCTTCACTCCTAAAAGATGGTATACCTCCCTGACCAGTGCATGAAATTACTGCCTCTGTTTCTTCCTTAACATTTAAAAGTTCCTCAAAATATTCTCGCCATCTACCTAATACCTCCATCTCCCCATCTACTAACTCCCCTACTCTGTTTTTAACTGACAAATCCATATTTTCCCTAGGCTTTCTTAACTTGTTTAACTCACTCCAAAATTTTTTCTTATTTTCATTAAAATTTCTTGACAGTGCCTCTCCCACTCTATCATCTGCTCTCCTTTTGCACTCTCTCACCACTCTCTTTACCTTTCTTTTACTCTCCATATACTCTGCTCTTCTTATAACACTTCTGCTTTGTAAAAACCTCTCATAAGCTACCTTTTTCTCTTTTATCACACCCTTTACTTCATCATTCCACCAATCACTCCTCTTTCCTCCTGCCCCCACCCTCCTATAACCACAAACTTCTGCCCCACATTCTAATACTGCATTTTTAAAACTATTCCAACCCTCTTCAACCCCCCCACTACTCATCTTTGCACTAGCCCACCTTTCTGCCAATAGTCGCTTATATCTCACCCGAACTTCCTCCTCCCTTAGTTTATACACTTTCACCTCCCTCTTACTTGTTGTTGCCACCTTCCTCTTTTCCCATCTACCTCTTACTCTAACTGTAGCTACAACTAAATAATGATCCGACATATCAGTTGCCCCTCTATAAATATACAAGGTATGATGCAGCACGTAATGAAAGTAGTTTATTAGATTATGTATTGGTGGATAAAAGGTTGATGGGTAGGCTCCAGGATGTACATGTTTATAGAGGGACACCAAAATAGCCTATCCAATTCATTCTAATGAGGACATAGGAGCACTCCAGGATGATTTGAATAGACTGATGCAGTGGTCGGAAAAGTGGAAGATGCAGTTTAATATAGACAAATGCAAAATTCTAAATGTTGGACAGGAAAATAACCATGCTACATATAAACTAAATAATGTAGATCTTATTGTGAAAAGGATTTAGTTCTGGTTAGCAGTAATCTAAAACCAAGACAACAGTGCATAAGTGTTTACAATAAAGTTAACAGAACCTTGGCTTCATATCAAGAAATATAAATAATAGAAGTCCTCAGTTTGTTCTACAACTCTATATATATTTGGTTAGGCTTCATTCAGATTATTCTGCACAGGTCTGGTCACCGTATTACAGAATTATTAGTGTAAATGCACTGGAAAACATACAATGGAGGATGGCAAAATTGATCCCATGTATCAGAAATCTTCCCTATGAGGATAGTCTGAGGGCCCTGAATTTACACTCTCTAGAGAGGCATAGAATTAGGGGGGATATGACTGAGGTGTATAAATAAAAAACAGGAATAAATAAAGGGGATGTAAATAAAGTGCTAAAATTATCTAGCCTAGACAGGACTCGCAGCAATGGCTTTAAGTTGGAAAAATTCAGATTCAGTAAGGAAACAGGAAAGCACAGGTTTGGTAATAGAGTTGTGGATGAGTGGAACAAACTCCTGAGTACTGTCAAAGAAGCTAAGACATTGTGTAGTTTTAAAAATAGGTTAGATAAATACATGAGCGGGTGTGGGTGGGTGTGAGTTGGACCTGATTAGGTCAGATGCCGTGCTCCTTCCTAATCTAGCATCTCACCACTAACTCTTAGACAATCTAATTTCCTCCCTTTGGTTTCTCATTGTCGGTGTCATATATACATATATGTCTTACGAGCCAGTGTTTTGGTGTATTCTGGCCCCTATTTTGAAATTTGCATCTTTTTAATTTGCATGAAATTGGCCAAATAGCCAATTTCTGACCACTTTATTGGGTAGCTGAAACCAGTAAATGGGCAGTTTCTTGTACTCAATCGATAGAACAAATGGAGTTCTAAAGAAATAGCTATGAGTTTGGTCGACTGGAACAATGGAATTGGCCAAAAATAGGACTCAGAGTGGGCAAAATCACCAATGCGTATACAGTGGAACCTCTACTTGTGAGCGTGTCCATGTGCGAGTTTTTCCAAATACGAGCAGTCGATGGGTTGATTTTTTGCTTCCATGCGCAAGCAAAATTTCCATAAACGAGCAGACCTCAAGGCAGCTTCCCTGACACTGGTGAGGGGCTCTTGCTCTTGATCTCAGGAATTGTATCTCATTTGTTTGTTGGACTATCTTATTGAAACTTGGGCAATGTATGATGGAAAGATGCTTAACGTACACCAAATGAAAGAAATCTAAGCATAAATAATGGAGTCCACTTCTCAGCAATTAGCCACCCCTTAGCAGTAATTTCGAATGGTTTTTATGGTTGTATTCTCGTTTTTTTTTTGTGTGTGTGGTCTCGTTTTTTCGGCCGTATAGATGATATTAGCAAAATTATTCATGAAGTATTTTGCCCGATCTCCAGACAAACTCTCATCCACCGCCGACACTGCCCATATCACTACATGAATGACATATTTTATTCATTTTAGAGTATATATCAGGTTTCTATTTATTTATGTTGTTTATTATGTCCTATTAGATGAAATGAGATAGATGAATAAGCTGTAGAGTTGATATTAGCAAAATTATTGAAGTACAGAATTCCACTGGAACGGATTAATTGCATTTCAATTAATTTAAATGAGGAAAACTGACTCTGCAAATGAGCAAATCCAGTTGCGAGCAAGGTCGTGGAACAGATTAAACCCGCAAGTAGAGGTTCCACTGTATATCACCGAGATCACAAACTTCGCAAGAGCATAATTCCATAAGTTTTCCATCAAATTTCGTACTTTTGGTGTCATTACCATCGGGAAAAGATTCTCTATCATTTCATGAGATTTTTTTTTTTTCAAATATTTTACGACACAGAGAGACACTTCAGGATTTGGGGTCTCGACAGTCAAGGGGTTAAGTGAATATGACCTGACCTGACTAGGTTAGGGCGTTGGCTTAACCCTTTCAGGGTCCAAGGCCAAAATCTGAAGTGGTGCCCCAGTGTCCAAGAATTTTCAAAAAAAAATTTTTTTATTTTTTCTTATGAAATGGTAGAGAATCTTTTTGTGAATGTAATAAAACAAAAAGTACGAAATTTGATGGAAAATTGACGAAATTATGCTCTCGTGAATTTTGATGTGTCAGCGATATTTACGAATCGGCGATTTTGCCGACTTTGACTCCCATTTTAGGCCAATTACATTATTCCAGTCGACCAAATTCTCAGCTATTTCACTAGTATTACTTCTATTCTATCGATTGAGCACAAGAAATCGCCAAGTCAACTGTTTCAACTACAAAATAAAGTGACCGGAAATTGGTAATTTGGCCAATTTAACACAAAGTTCAAAATATTCCAATTTCAAAATAGCGTCCAGAATAAACAATGTAGGTATTCCTGGCACTAAACTAACATTTCCTCTGTTCATTAGTTATGTTTTGAGGCTTTACAAATAAATTCCATTTTGATTTTTTATTCACATAATGAATTTTTATTCACACCAAAAATAGAAGATTTACTGTTATGCAATATTGTAATAATTGTATAAATATCATCACCACATTTGTGAATGTATATTAGACCCACCAGCTGGCATGTATTAGACGTGTGAGGACGTTTGTTTACTCTTGAATATCGGCAAAAATTTAACATTTCCGCCACTTTGAGCTCAATTTCAAGCCATTTCCAGTGCTAACACCAATCAAAATTATCTCTATTTCTGTAATATGACTTCCATTCTATCAAATGAGATCAAGAAATCACAAATACAACTATAAAAAACATACAAAAAAACACTGCAAAGTCGCTGTTTTAATCGAAAATCATGGTCTCAGTTTTTTTTCTCTCATTATACACAGTGTGCTGCAGGATTTGTTTTATGTGGTGCACACATACCACATAGATGTATTCTCTCATATCTAGGCCCAAAAATACCACTCACAGTTTATCAGAGTGAGCTGAGCTCATGACGTAGATCTACGGTTTGGACCCTGAACGTAAAGCCGTTAATCTACGGGACGGACCCTGAAAGGGTTAAGCTGGTAGGAAAATTGGACTTGCCCCACATGGACCAGTAGGCCTGCTGTAGTGTTTCTTCTTTCTTATGTTCTCATGTTCTTAAATATGATAACAAAAGACTTGTATCTCACCTAGCTAGAAGGTCATCATTGCATGGATGCCAATCAAGACAGGTTATTGTCTTGCGGTGGTCAGCCAAGATGCTAAACAACTGCCACTGATTACTTCCAGTCTCAACCTGCATATGTACAAAATAAATGTAATAAATTACGAAATATGAAATACAGTGGACCCCCGGTTAACGATATTTTTTCACTCCAGAAGTATGTTCAGGTGCCAGTACTGACCGAATTTGTTCCCATAAGGAATATTGTGAAGTAGATTAGTCCATTTCAGACCCCCAAACATACACGTACAAATGTACTTACATAAATACACTTACATAATTGGTCGCATTCGGAGGTAATCGTTATGCGGGGGTCCACTGTATATGTAATGTAAATTTTATGTTGCATTTTCCCATCTATATTAACATATTTTGTTTCAAAGACTAGGGCAAAAATTTGATAATTGATTTATGTAAAGATAATGGAATTTGATAAGTAACCACTAAGGTGAAAGTGCTTATTCATTCAATTTTCCAAAGCTCCTGTATGACAAGTTGACCATGAATCATTTTGCAGAATTTCCAATACTATTCTAGACAATACTTATCTGCATACAACAACAACAACTAAGTGGAGTTACAATAATGCATGAGGAGGTGCAGAATAAACCAAATGAAGTGTTACAAGCTTAGAGAATTTATCAACATTCGAGGTCATAAACTCTTACATTCTTCTGCTGTATTAGCATATAGTACATAAACAATATTGCCAGGAAAAAAATAGAAGTCTTCAAGAAGGGATCAGACAAGTCCCTATAGGAGGTTCACAATTAGCTAGGTTACAAAAACTAAGCAGTCCTGAGGGCCACAAGCAGTAATGGCCAAGCTAATTAAGTCGCCAGATTCATTTGAATCACTACACTCTTCAGTCATCAGATTCATTAAGACTGATGGACTGAAAAACCTCCTTTCAAGGCTAAGGGACTCAAACTGCTTCTTCAATTCATCCACTGTCTCCAACAGATGCATCAAGGCTTTATTGGGAAGGAGGTAGTAGGTGGGTGTTCTATTACCTGACTGACACCAATTAATCAATCACCTTGTCAGTCGAGTCCACACTATATACCAGCCATCCCATATCTAGCTTCCCAAATGGACACCCCCCTTTGACAGAGATGTTATTATAAAGTAAACTGAACACTAGCTACTTGCCAATCTGATGTCTTTTATGACACCTGGTGCTTGTTGCATTACCAAGCAGAAATACCCAGCACACACAATCAATGAAGAAGTGTAAGACTGATCATGTGGGTTCTTCTTTCCAAATGCAGTTGGCACACTCCTGACTCCCATTAATCTTGAACCAATACCACTGTGCTTATGTTAGATCACTACCTACCTTGTACAAGATTATGGAATGCAATCTATTTAATGGACAAGGTGGGAAGACGTCCATATACTGTACAGTATACATTTAGGGTAACTGACAAACAAACTTTATTTCTATAAGTGGAGTACAGTATATTATACAATTAAGGTGATTGACATATATAACTAGCTTATAGAAAGCCCCTTGTTATGCAAAGCAAATCACCTTATGCCAATAATAACACAACAAAGAGCAGCAGTACAAATGATCACCCAGTCTATTGCCAGACAACACACTCCCCCATTCTTTCAAAAGTCTAAACTTACTTAATATACATAAAATTCACTCATACTACTGTGCATGTGCATATACAGGACAATCAACCCTAATATGAATCCTTCCCTGAAACTCTTTCTTGATAACTGCAACAGAACTCATAGGCATAATACTAGACACAAAAGTCTCTATGAAATTCCCCTGCATCCGGCATAATCATTATAAAAACTCAATGTACAAAAAAAGGACTTAAAATCTGGAAATCTCTACCTGAATACTCTAGACTCTTTCTTTCTGCCAGCCACTTCAAAGTTACTGTTAAAAAACACCTCCTTTCCTTAATGTTATCCTAACAACAATTAATTATGATGAACAATTCTTTCAACCTGTATTGTCCCTGTCCTCGTCTATCATTCCTTCAACTCATGCACCCAGCTTCATCCTAAATAGATCACCAATTATAGTTTTTTACTGAATTACTGTATACCTCTAGTAGTATTTTAAAAACTATGTATTCTTATTCTCATATATGTCCTAGTAATTATAATTTAATTTTAAGGCTGCCCGAAATGCCTTGCATTATAAGGGGCTCTCTATAGTTATTTTTGTCACTCACCTTGTTTAATATAATATACCATACTCCACTTTATAGAAATAAAGTTTGTTTGCGTTGAGAGGAGTTATTATATTAGTCCAGATATGGTGAATTGAGGATGCACTCATCTCAATGATTCTTGTTGGTTTATTTATAGCCGGTATGAATAGGGAATTACACAGGCTGTTAATGAAGTCAGTTGCTTGAGGGTCCTCAGCTTGAACAACATTAATGTTAAAGTCACCAACGAGTATTAGATAATGTTTGTTTAAGTGCTTATTGATTATTAGGTTCTTTAGGTTACTTAAGGTGGGAATATACTGGAGAATGTCAGTCACCATGACATTCATAAATTCAAGGCCCTAAAACCTGGTGAGGCAAGGTCTCATCTCTTAACATTGAGTCACTGAAAACTCTGAAGGGCAATCCATGGCACTTCATGACTTCTGAGCTGAGAAGAAACCATTAAAACAATCCCCCTTTCTCTCCCACTGAGGAGGGGTACTAACTGTCACAGTAGCACAGGCACTGTCGAAGTCACACAGGCACGCCTCAAAAGGAAAAACGGTAAAAAAGCCGGTGGAATAAACTCCACAACAAAGGCCGAGGACTGATTACCACTAACTACTTGTTTATGTATTTTTTTTCTGTACTGGACTAATAAAGCTACTGGTTGGCAAAACATCTCTACAATAAAGATATCCAAATGTTGCCCATGGAATAAAAGTAAAGAATGAACAGAACAGGCAGTATATGCAAAGCAGTAGCATGCAAGGAAAGTGTAACACAGTACAGTAGGGCCCCGCTTTACGGCGTTTTGCTTTACGGCATTCCACTAATACGGTCGTTTCAAATTGTGACCAAAACTCCCTATACGGCTCCCCCACCTGACTTTCTAATACAGTCACCGTGCCCCACCCAGTTTGTTTACATTCTCTGTGAGATCCGTAAGCACTTAGTCTCCCCATTATGTCTGGAAACTCCAAAATTTCAAGTGTTTCTAAAAGTTATTTCATATTTTATATATTTTTTTTTTTTCAACAAGTCGGTCGTCTCCCACCGAGGCAGGGTGACCCAAAAAAAGAAAGAAAATCCCCAAAAAGAAAATACTTTCATCATCATTCAACACTTTCACCACACTCACACATTATCACTGCTTTTGCAGAGGTGCTCAGAATACAACAGTTTAGAAGCATATACGTATAAAGATACACAACATATCCCTCCAAACTGCCAATATCCCAAACCCCTCCTTTAAAGTGCAGGCATTGTACTTCCCATTTCCAGGACTCAAGTCCGACTATATGAAAATATTTTATATATACTCTGATAGTTAATCTTAAGTTAATTTTAAGCCAGCCCGTAATGCTATGCATAGTATAAGTGGCTTTGGCATGCTGCTCTTATCTGTATTTTTTTTTTGTACCTCTGTATGTGTGCTCAAATTGTAATAAATAAATAAATAATTAAACTTATGTATACCTGTACCTAAATAAACTTACACACTGTGCTGGCGTGCAGGTACATATTAAAATCAGTAAGTGTGTCTTATGTCTCGAGACACCATATTAGTAGTAGTAGTAGTAGTAGTAGTAGTAGTGGTGATGATGATGATGATGATGATGATGATGATGATGATGATGATGATGATGATGATGATGATGATGATGATGATGATGATGATGATGATGATGATGATGATGATGATGATGATGATGATGATGATGATGATGTGATTGATGATGATGATGATGATGATGATTGATGATGATGATGATGATGATGATGATGATGATATGATGAGATGATGATGATGATGATGATGATGATGATGATGATGATGATGATGATGATGATGATGATGATGATGATGATGATGATGATGATGAACATGCAAGATTTCAGGTATGTCTTGCTACTTCTACTTACACTTAGGTCACACTACACATACATGTACAAGCACATATATACACAACCCTCTGGGTTTTCTTCTATTTTCTTTCTAGTTCTTATTCTTGTTTATTTCCTCTTATCTCCATGGGGAAGTGGAACAGAATTCTTCCTCCGTAAGCCATGCGTGTTGTAAGAGGCGACTAAAATGCCGGGAGCAAGGGGCTAGTAACCCCTCCTCCTGTATATACTACTAAATGTAAAAGGAGAAACTTTCGTTTTTCCTTTTGGGCCACCCCACCTCAGTGGGATACGGCCAGTGTGTTGAGAGAAAGAAAAAATAATAATAATAATAATAATCGCAGTCTCATTAAATGTCGTATATTACATTAATATACATACATAATTTTCATTAAGCCATCTATGATATTTTTTCAAAATTATATAATAAACATGATACATAACATATGTTGATGATAAATACACTCCACAGTAGAATAAATAAACATAAATACGAGATGTGGGAGCCAGACACATTGCACGAGTGACGCCATATTAGTAGTATTAATAATAGAAATCACCAAATCTCGTTAAATCTCGTTAAATGCATGCAACCATATGACCTGTCTTTGTAATACTCATTTGTGCTTTATAGTTATCTGTTTACAATAATGTCTTATCACTGATTTCATCATTGCTTAGTTAATCTTAAGTTAATTTTAATCCAGCCCGTAATGCTATGCATATAAGTGGCTTTGGCATGCTGCTCTTACCTGTATTTTTTTTGTACCTCTGTATGTATGCTAAAATTTCTAAATAAAAATAAATATTACGTTAATATACGCATTTTCATTAATCCATCTATGATAATTTTTCAAAATTATATAATAAATACAATACATAACATATAAAGATGATAAATACACCCCACAGTAGATAAATAAACATAAATACAAGATGTGGTAGCCAGACTTGTACAAGTGACAGCAAGAATAACATTTTCTCTAGTCCAACATCAGAGAAAATGTGTTACTGGGGGTAACTGTAGAAAATTATTCCTTTTGTATTTAAGTAAGTTTATTCAGGTATACACAAATACAATTACATAGATTATCATACATAGCAGCATATGTGTAGAGAACCTAGGATAAACCAAAAAAGTCAGAGTGACTTATTTCCATTGCCTTCACTCAGAGCATCATTTCTTCTAAAATTGGTGTTACATGAGAATGAGAATGTTCTTCTTTATTTATTCTACCATATCAATGTAGAGACAACTTGTACACAATGTAGCCTGTACACAAACCAGATGTGTACACCCGTTTTTTTTTACAAAACTTGCGTTCGCCTGGTTTGTTTACATAACTCTGCGCCTGTCCTCCCTCATGTACTCATTCTCATTCTTTTTTTTTTTTTTTTTTTTTTTACACAGGGTTTGACAAGGTTAAGGATCCCTAGCTTTATTGACAGCTATATTACAGGTTAAGGATTCCTAACTTTATTGGCAAGCTAAGAGCTGTTACCTACATCAGCTCATTTGAAAGCATTTTTATTGTTATGAGACATACAAGTACGGGACAGGATGAAGTTGGAGCCATCTGTGGGCCAGCATTTTCATTTGATCAACTGACTTTATCTCGTTGACATCATTATGCTGTACGAATGTGTTCCATACTCGAGTCATCCTGGGTATGTATGATCTCAGATGGAGTGATGTTCTGGAGAAGGGTACAGCCAGAGTGAAGTTGCTGCTTTCTGCCCGTCTTGTGGCATAAAAGCTTGTTTCACGCTGTCCTCGAAGTGGATCCAAGTGTGGTATTTTGACAATATTGGCCTTGTACATAACAGTAAGGCCACCCACATCCCTCCTATGTTGAAGGCTCTGCTGAAATGACAGATCTATCCAGGATGGGGCCAGGCGAGAGATGAGACGTCTTGCTCTGTTCTCTACTCTGTCAAGCAGTCGCAGATGAGAGGGGGGCAGGCAAACCAAGAAAGTGGAGCATACTCAAGGTGTGAGCGTACTTGTGCCTCGTACAGGATCTTGCAACCCCTACTGTCAAGCAGATGCGAGATACGGCGAAGTGCTGTAAGCTTCCTGGATGCCTTGTTTGCAAGATTTACAACATGGTTCTTCATGGTTAGTTTGGAGTCAAATTTCACCCCAAGGATATCAACTTCTTCTCCAGGTGCCAACATCGTCCCATTCATCCTTACTACTGCACCAGCATTACCATCATGGTGCCTAGAGATGATCATCATTTGCGTTTTCTCAGGTGCAAATGTTACTTGCCATCTATTTCCCCAAGCTGATATAGCTCTCAGCTGGTGATTGATGTAGCTTAGAGCAGCTGGCATTTCTTCTCTTGGATAAGTGAATGTCAGTGTACAGTCATCTGCATATGCATGTGATTCTGGGATGAGATGAAGAAGGTCGTCGAAGTAGACATTCCATAACAGTGGACCCAGCACGCTTCCTTGTGGAACGCTTGCCCCAATAGGATGCCTTGCTGATTCCGTTCCATTGAGGACTACACTTAGAGATCTACCATGAAGGTAATCACTGAGGAGACATAGCGTAGAGCCTGCAATTCCCAGTGCTTGAAGTTTTGCTAAGAGGCCCTGGTGCCACACCCGGTCGAAAGCGCCAGCAATGTCCAGTGCTACCACACAGCTGACTTTGGATTCATCCAATGACTGGTGCCACTTAGTGGAGAGGTTTAACAACAGATCAGCAGCAGAGTAACCTTTCCTGAAGCCATATTGACTATCACAAAGTAGTGAGTGGTAGTCAAAAAAATCTGTCATTTGTCTTGAGATTATTGTCTCAAGGATCTTACCAGTGATTGACAGGAGTGACACTGGTCTGTAGTTGCTGATTTCTGCTCTGCTCTTCTTTTTGTGAACAGGGACTACATTTGCCTCTTTCCATGGAGAGGGCCATTTACACTGTACTAGGCAGTGCTGAAAGATGCGAGTTAGAGGTGCTGCTAGCTGGTCTGCACATCTTCTCAACAATCTTGGGCTCAACTTGTCTGGGCCCACAGCCTTTTCTTGGTCAAGTGATTTAAGAAGGAAATGCACCTCCTCCTGCCTTATTGTCACCACTGACAGTTTTGACACAGTTCTTGCAGCTAGCCAAGGAGGGTCCCTTGCTGGATCAGGAACTTGCATTTTGGTAGCAAAGTGTTCAGCAAAGAGGTCCGCCTTCTCTTTCTCTCTGTCTCATTCTATCTCTCTCATTCTCTCTCTCATTTCCTCTCTCTCATTCTCTCTCTCTCTCTCATTCATTTTATCTCATTTACTCACCTCTGACCCTACATTAAGACTACAAATATTTTAAGGTAAGTAATGAGTGACCTGTATATGCATTTTATCGCTCTGGGATGCTTAAATGTTATAGAATACTGTATTATGTGTGGGCGGGCTGGCCTGGCTGGCTACCATACACACCACACTTGATTTCTTACAATAAATACTACTTGTTTCACCACAGATTAAGACTACAAATATTTTAAGGTAAGTAATGAGTGTAATATATGTGTATTTTACTTTTTTATTGTTTTTTAATGCCTAGTTCTATTGCTAACTTAATATATGTTAGAGTAAATTTGCTAGCTAGTATTTATATGCATTTATAAGTGGAAAAAAGGGGTGTTCCACTTTACGGCGATTTCCGCTTTACGGCAGTAGCCTGGAACTTAACCTGTCATATAAGTGGGGTCCTACTGTACACAGAGTTTATGTAAAAGGTCTTGTTTTGCCACTTTAGTATATATGACCATCATCAATACTTATCAATAAAATTGTTGTAATTTATTTAGTGGTTGTACAAATTGTTTAATAAAGCTGCCTTACTGTACAGGGAATTCAGAACACAAAGTCACTTAATACAATACTGATAACTTTATTTACAAAAAATAGCAAATATTACAGCTTCAACATTGATAATTTTATCTACATTAATAGCAAGTGTTGCAGCATTATTGGACTCACCTCATACACATAAATAGCAAGTGTTGCAGCATAGGCAAAACGTCGAGAATGAGCAGTACAGATGTTATGATGCCAAGGTTGGGCACCAGCAGCAAGAAGTGACAGTTGCTGTAACATACCGCCTCTACAGGTAGATAAAATAAAAATAATCTTTTACCACGTCTCGTGAAAGTAGATATCAATGACAAGCTCTCTGAACCTGAAAGACTTTCTCTCATAAAGAAATACAGTGGACCCCCGGTTAACGATATTTTTTCAATCCAGAAGTATGTTCAGGTGCCAGTACTGACCGAATTTGTTCCCATAAGGAATATTGTGAAGTAGATTAGTCCATTTCAGACCCCCAAACATACATGTACAAACGCACTTACATAAATACACTTACATAATTGGTCGCATTCGGAGGTGATCGTTAGGCGGGGGTCCACTGTACTGGACAGGCAAAAAAAAATCACACTTGGTTTACAATCAAATGGTTACTGACATATGTAAATGTGTGTGTAAATGTACCATTGTATGTATAGTATAGGTTGACCATCACTAATCCGGCATCATCGGGACCTGTAGTATGCCGGATTAGTGATCTTTGCCAGATTACAGAGTGGTTAGGTTAGAATACACTTAACCCAGCGGCAATATTTGTGCATCGGTAATTTTGTCCTCTTTACGCCCTATTTTTGGCAGATTCCAGTGTTCCTATCTGCCAAACTCATAGCTATTTCACTAGTATTCCTTCTATTCTGTCGACTGAGTACAAGGAACTGCCCATTTACCTATTTCAATTACCCAATAAAGGGGTCAGAAATCAGTAATTTGGCCAATTTCACACAAATTTCAAGAGATGCCAATTTTGAAATAGGGTCCAGAATAAACAATGCAGGCATACCTGGCACTAAAATAACATTTTCTCTGTTCACTAGTCATGTCTCCAGGCCCCTCTTATAATACACTTGCTTTCCATTCTGAATTTTTATCCACACAAAAAATAGATTTACTGGAATGCAGACTACTGCATTACTGTAATAATTGTATAAATAATGTCAACCTAGACGTGTATTAGACTGTGTATTAGACTGGCCAGTTGAACACGTATTGGACGGTGACGTCATTTGTTTACTCTTGAACATCGGCAAAAATCAAACATTTCTGCTGCTTTGAGCTCAATTTCAGGGTACTTTCTGTCATGAAACCAATCAAAATCATAACTATTTCTGTAATATATCTTCCAATGTATCAAATGAGATCAAAAAATGTGAATACGACCATAAAAACCATACGAAAATACACTGCAAAGACGCTGTTTTACAAAATAAACACGGTCACAGTTTATTCTCATTATGCACTAAGTGCTGCAGGATTTTTTTTATATAGTGCACACTTACCACACAGACCTATTCTCTCATATGCAGGCCCAAATTTACCGGTCACAGCTTATCTAAGTGAGCCTGAGCTCATGGCGACAGACAGTGGCTTCAAAGCCACCTTATCTTTTATGGACAATGTACCGTGTACAGTGGACCCTAGCCTAACGAACACATCGCATAACGATACATTTTAACGCTAACATTTTGCCTCGGCTAACGCTAAAAAACTCGCCTAACGATATTCGTTCTCGGGTACCAATTAATATCGTTAGGTGAAGGTCCACTGTATGTGGTTTACACAACGAGAAGTATTTCTCTTATTCATTGGAACTATGGCTAGGGTTAAAAGTGAGCAGGTTATAACAATAAATGAAGAAAAACAGATTTGAATGACTTACAGTGCTAGTCACAGCATTATGCCAGGTGAGCGCCCTAGCATAATGCCGTGACAAAAATCAAAGGCCTACCATACAGGGGTGTCTTTTTTCATCAGTGCATTATGCCGAGCAGCAGCCATTGGCATGACGTCACGGCCTGTCACCACACTCCACAGTGACTCCTCAGTGCTCATGTGGCTGCCATGGTGAGAGGAAGTGTTGCACTTTTGTCTCTCATTTGCCCCATCTTTTGTCCGGTGTTCCCTTTGGATTTGGGGCTATACATGTTTGATTATGGGTAAAAGGAAGTCTTTAACACCTGAAACAATAGCTCAAATCATAGGGCTTCACAAAGCTGGGCACCAGACGAAAGTAGTAGTGGAGAATGTTGGTATGTGTGAGCGTTCAGTGAGGAACTGGGTGCAGCGTTTCAAGGCTGGTGGCGGTGTCAAGTTACTGTCTACCAAACCTCGGCCTGACCCCTCGAATAAGACGTCTGTTCGTACCTTAACTGTGTTAAAGAAGCAGTTAGAGAGTACACCTAAGATAACTGCTAAAGACTGGAAAGAAAAGAACTCACATTTTCTCTCAGAGGTGTCTGTAAGAACTGTTAACAGACGTGTGTCAGAACTGGGTTACAGTAGTCACCACCAGGTTAAGAAACCGATCCTCTCCAAGCCACAGAATAAACGTAGGCTGAATTATGCAAAAAAATATCTTCACTGGAATCCTCAACAGTGGTCTGAGGTACTTCGGAGTGATGAAGCAACCTTCACCATCACCTGTAATTACCCAGAGATAGTGACCCGCTAGACCTGTTGGTCCTCATCCAGGTTGATATTTTCTGTAATTCGGTATTTACAGTATTGGCTAGCATGACTGGGCTCGGGTGAGAGTACACGTATGTAGTGGTAAGTTCTTCCCTGTGGTCCTCCACCAACTCTTCCACATCCTCACCACTCACCTCCAACCCCAGGGACTTCCCCAAAGACACAATAGAGTCCACAGGGTCGGCAGAGTCAGGGTCACGTTGAGTCTCAAACACTTCAAAATCCCTCTCTTGGACACAATCTGGCCAGTTTTCTCCAAGCAGAGTTCAAAGTCCTTGAAGTCACTCCCTCTCAAGCCTTACCTATAAGGCTTATACAATGGAGGATAGTGAAGTGTTTCCTCCAGAACTGTCTTAGGGTCAACTGAGTGTCCGAGGTCACTTCAAAGCACTTTTGAAAAGCTGCTTTTGTGTAGAGTTTTTGAAGTTAGAAATGACCTGCTGGTCCATGGGCTGGAGGAGAGGAGTGGTGTTAGGAGGCAAGAACTTCACTTTTATAAAACTGAAGTCCCTAAACACTTGGTCTTCCAAGTCTGGAGGATGTGCAGGAGCATTGTCCAGTAACAGGAGGCACTTGAGTGGCAATTTCTTTTCCAGGAGGTATTTTTTCACACTTGGGCCAAACACATCATTAGCCCAGGCTTTGAAAATTTGCCTTGTGACCCATGCCTTATGATTAGCTTTCCACATCACACACAATCTATTCTTCATGACATTGTTCTTCTTAAACACTCTGGGATTTTCTGAGTGATACACAAGAAAAGGCTTCACTTTGAAATCCCCACTAGCATTACTAAAACAACAAAAGAGTAAGCCTGTCTTTCATAGGCTTATATCCTGGCAGTCCCTTTTCCTCCTGGGTAATGTAGGTCCTCCTTGGCATTTTCTTCCAAAACAGGCCTGTTTCGTCACAATTGAAAACTTGTTGGGGTTCGAATCCTTCAGCCTTTACATAGTCCTGGAATTCGTGAACATACTGTTCAGCTGCACATTTGTCAGAACTTGCAGCCTCACCATACCTTACAACACTGTGTGTGCCACTACACTTCTTAAATCTATCAAACCATCCTTTGCTGGCCCTAAATTCACAAACTGCAGCACTTATTCCAGGCATTTTCGTTGCAAGATCCTCATGCAACTGCTTTGCCCTCTCACAAATAGTAGACTCCACTACACTGTCTCCCACTAATTCTTTTTCCTTAATCCACAATAATAATAACTTTCCCATCTCTTCCATTATTGGTGTCCTTTGTTTAGTCAGAAAAGCTACTTCTTTTGCAACATTAGCATCTTTGATTTGTTCTTTCTTTGCCAGGATGGATGTAATTGTTGATTTATTCTTGCTGTACATCCTGGCAAGTTCCATCACCTTCATACCACTCTCAAACTTTTCGATCACTTCATGCTTAAATTCCATTGTGTTTCTCACTTTCTTTACCACAGGAACTTTACTAGGAACTTTCTTTGGAGCCATGGTTACTTATTTCTCAGTTGCACTGCAAGAAAAACCACTAAAAACAATGGTAAACAAGTGAAATGTTTGGATGTATGAGCAGAAGCCTCCTCAGCCACCGAGAGACAAAGCCAAACTGAAGCGAAACCTACCCCAGCTGGCGGATGGACGCATCCAAAACCACCGATAACCGAGCGAACGACTGATAACCGGGCACCAAAAAACCCGCCAATAACCGAGTTGGCTGATAACCAAACCGGCCGATAACCGGGGGTCCACTGTATGTAAAATTAGAAAGGGCAGACATAAATATAAATGAGCAAACAATAAGTAATAAAATTCTATGGCCTGCATTACAGTTGTCATAAAAGTATATTTATAACTTTAAGTTTGAAATGCAAAGCTACCAGCACATTAATTAAATGTATAAAAAATCATATTTAAAGTGATTTTTTTTTTTTTATTATTATCACACTGGCCGATTCCCACCAAGGCAGGGTGGCCCGAAAAAGAAAAACTTTCACCATCATTCACTCCATCACTGTCTTGCCAGAAGGGTGCTTTACACTACAGTTTTTAAACTGCAACATTAACACCCCTCCTTCAGAGTGCAGGCACTGTACTTCCCATCTCCAGGACTCAAGTCCGGCCTGCCGGTTTCCCTGAACCCCTTCATAAATGTTACTTTGTTCACACTCCAACAGCACGTCAAGTATTAAAAACCATTTGTCTCCATTCACTCCTAACAAACACGCTCACACATGCCTGCTGGAAGTCCAAGCCCCTCGCACACAAAACCTCCTTTACCTCCTCCCTCCAACCTTTCCTAGGCCGACCCCTACCCTGCCTTCCTTCCACTACAGACTGATACACTCTTGAAGACATTCTGTTTCGCTCCATTCTCTCTACATGTCTGAACCACGTCAACAACCCTTCCTCAGCCCTCTGGACAACAGTTTTGGTAATCCCACACCTCCTCCTAACTTCCAAACTACGAATTCTCTGCATTATATTCACACCACACATTGCCCTCAGACATGACATCTCCACTGCCTCCAGCCTTCTCCTCGCTGCAACATTCATCACCCATGCTTCACACCCATATAAGAGCGTTGGTAAAACTATACTCTCATACATTCCCCTCTTTGCCTCCAAGGACAAGGTTCTTTGTCTCCACAGACTTCTAAGTGCACCACTCACCCTTTTCCCCTCATCAATTCTATGGTTCACCTCATCTTTCATAGACCCATCCGCTGACATGTCCACTCCCAAATATCTGAATACATTCACCTCCTCCATACTCTCTCCCTCCAATCTGATATCCAATCTTTCATCACCTAATCTTTTTGTTATCCTCATCGCATATTATCTCATTACTTTTTAACAAGTCACTAGAAACTAGCACCTTCCCGAAATTACTCAAGACGGCAAGGGTTACACCAATACATAAAGGTGGTGACCCTACAGATTTAAACAACTACATGTATAGGTCAATATCAAACTTACCATTGCTATCCAAAATCTTTGAGAAACTCATGCACAGGAGACTGTATTCATTTATAACGTCACAAAACATACTCAACCCCTGCCAATTTGGATTCAGGAAAAATAAAAGCACTAACAATGCAATCATAAAAATGCTAGATCTGCTTTACACAGCATTGGAAAATAAGGAATATCCACTAGGAATTTTTATTGACCTAAGAAAAGCTTTTGACACAGTAGACCACGGCATCCTACTCCACAAACTTGACCATTATGGTATAAGAGGCCATGCGCTTGCATATTTCAAATCTTACCTTACTAATAGGTATCAGTATGTCACCATTAAAGACACAGCATCAACAACACAGCCACTTGATACTGGAGTTCTGCAGGGAAGTGTCCTTGGTCCCCTGCTCTTCCTCATATACATCAATGATCTTCCAAACGTATCTCGACACCTGAACCCCATTCTCTTTGCTGACGACACGACTTATGTCATCTCTCACCCTAATCTTGCCACCCTCAACACCATTGTTAATGAGGAGCTGATCAAAATATCGACTTGGATGACAGCCAATAAACTTACGCTTAACGTTGACAAAACCTACTACATTATGTTTGGTAGTAGAGCAGGAGATGCGCAAATTAACATTAAGATCGACAACACTCTAATTGCCAGGCATAATGAGGGCAAATTCCTAGGCCTATACCTCGACAACAACCTGAACTTCAGCACCCATATCCAACACATAACCAAAAAAGTATCCAAAACGGTTGGGATCCTCTCCAAGATACGATACTACGTGCCGCAAACTGCCCTTCTCACACTATACCATTCACTTATATATCCATACCTCACCTATGCTATCTGTGCTTGGGGTTCAACTGCAGCAACACACCTAAGGCCAATAATAACCCAACAAAAAGCTGCAGTAAGAATAATCACTAAATCCCATCCCTGGCAACACCCCCCCCCCCCCACTCTTCATAGATCTAAACTTACTCCCTGTTCAGCACATCCACACTTACTACTGTGCAATCTACATCTACAGGACCTTAAATTCCAATATTAACCTCGACCTAAAATGCTTTCTTGATAGTTGTGACAGAACCCACAGGCACAACACCACATTCCCCGTGTCCAACTAAACCTTTACAAAAATTCAATGTATGTCAAAGGCCCTAAAATCTGGAACACCCTACCTGAAAATTCCAAAACTGCAGACACATTCATCACCTTCAAAACTACCATCAGAAAACATCTTATCTCCCTGATACACCCTGTCAACTAATAATACGAATACCACCTGGTGGTTCACACTTACACTCACTCACCCATTTGACCATAAACAGAAATATCAATCTCAATCTCAAAATAATGAATCTTAACTAGTCATAAGTTGGCCTGTGATACTCCAATACTGAAACTATGTATAGTGCCAAAACAAAAGCATTCACATTGCTAAACTCACAACTAGTATTTAGTCACTTAGCCATAATACCAACTTACCTCATAATTTTGTAATATTTTAAACTTAAGATTTAATATAAGTCTGCCCGAAATGCCTAGCCATGCTAGGTGTTCTAGTGATACACTCTGTAATTATTATTTTATTACATGTAAACCACACAATAACCAAATTCTGTAAACTCAGCATTGTAATCCTTATAGAGAATAAACTTTGAATTTGAATTTGAATAACCTTACTCTTTCCTGTATTCACTTTTAATTTTCTTCTCTTGCATACCCTACCAAATTCATCCACCAATCTCTGCAACTTCTCTTCAGAATCTCCCAAGAGCACAGTGTCATCAGCAAAGAGCAACTGTGACAACTCCCACTTTATGTGTGATTCTTTATCTTTTAACTCCACGCCTCTTGCCAAGACCCTCGCATTTACTTCTCTTACAACCCCATCTATAAATATATTAAACAACCACGGTGACATCACACATCCTTGTCTAAGGCCTACTTTTAATGGGAAATAATTTCCCTCTTTCCTACATACTCTAACTTGAGCCTCACTATCCTCGAAAAAACTCTTCACTGCTTTCAGTAACCTACCTCCTACACCATACACCTGCAACATCTGCCACATTGCCCCCCTATCCACCCTGTCATACGCCTTTTCCAAATCCATAAATGCCACAAAGACCTCTTTAGCCTTATCTAAATACTGTTCACTTATGTGTTTCACTGTAAACACCTGGTCCACACACCCCCTACCTTTCCTAAAGCCTCCTTGTTCATCTGCTATCCTATTCTCCGTCTTACTCTTAATTCTTTCAATAATAATTCTGCCATACACTTTACCAGGTATACTCAACAGACTTATTCCCCTATAATTTTTGCACTCTCTTTTGTCCCCTTTGCCTTTATACAAAGGAACTATGCATGCTCTCTGCCAATCCCTAGGTACTTACCTTCTTCCATACATTTATTAAATAATTGCACCAACCACTCCAAAATTATATCCCCACCTGCTTTTAACATTTCTATCTTTATCCCATCAATCCTGGCTGCCTTACCCCCTTTCATTTTACCTACTGCCTCATGAAGTGATGTAGGTAGATAAAGCTTATATACACTCCAGTAAAAGACGTGCTAAGTATGAGCACAGGCTTCTCCGGAGAATTCTCCATGGGGAAGTGGAATAGAATTCTTCCTCTGTAAGCCATGTATGTTGTAAGAGGTGACTAAAATGCTGGGAGCAAGGGGCTAGTAACCCCATCTCCTTTATAAATTACTAAATTTAAAAAGAAAAGCTTTTGTTTTTCTTTCTGGGTCACCCTGCCTTGGTAGGATAGGACCAGTTTGTTGAAAAAAAAAAGCACATGCTCTACATTAGTTGTGATATTAATAAAAACATTTTTGAACATGTGATAAGAATAACAATAATATCCAGGCAATGAAAGATTAGATATCAGAATGGATGGAAGGACTAAGGTGACATATCACTAATTAACTACTTAAAACAAGATCATAAATTTACAAGCAAAAGTCACTGCCTAAAATTCACACAATCTATTTTTTTACCATTCAGGAAAAATCAATATATTTACTCCACAGGAGAGATTCAAAATACCTTATGCCAGAGGATAACAGAGTTGCAGAGCCGACAGCTAAGGTTTTCAATCCTCCTCCCAGCATACAGTGGCTGCTAGCACTCTGAATGTAATTTCCATTTCTGTGGAGATTCCAAGCACAGTTATTGTCTCTGTGATACAAAATATGTGTGTATTAAAAAATTAAAATAGTACTGTACTATATAAATTTTTATGAAATATTCCAGATGATCCAACACTTCTTAAATAATTAGGCCAAGAAACAAATCTATCAAATTGTAAATGAAAGTAAATACAGAATAAAAAAGAAAACTCTTTCTTAATTTAGAGTAGTATTATTAAATACAGTACCATATAGTGACTCATGAAATCGTAATTGAGATAAAATGCCATCAGAATTTTTATTATATGGATTATTGTACCTCAAAAAATGTGAAAATTTAAAACTATGGAATTTTATGTTACCTCAAACATGAAAATTTGACTTTAGTATAAATTTAAACATTATATTTCCTTAGGTTTTTAATGTAGTCTTAGATTTGGGTTTTTCTCAGGAATTACATATAAGAACAATTTGTGCAATGCACTGAGTTAAAATAATTATTAACTTAAGACATGCTCAAAAAACTGCACATAAGATAGACATTTTAAAAAATACTACATACTGGTACTTTATCAATTTTATAGTTAATTTTACAAATCAAAGTACTGAACATTTTAACCCTTTCACTGTTATGACCCCTGAAATTATAAGTGCTGACAGTGTTGTAATTAAAAAAAAAAGAGATTGTAAAAATTATAGGGTAATAAATTTACTGAGTATAAAAAGGTAAAGTGTACAGAAGAGTTATTATTGAAAGAATTAGAGGTAAGACAGAGAGTAGGCTTACAGATGAGCAAGGAGGCTTTAGAGTAGGTAGGGAATGTGTAGATCAAGTGTTTATATTAAGGCATATACGTGAACAGTATTTAGATAAAGATAGGGAAATTTTCATTGCATTTATGGATTTAGAAAGGCATATGATAGAGTGGATAGGGGAGCACTGTGACAGATGTTACAAGTGTATGGAATAGGTAATAAGTTATTAAATGCTGTAAAGAGTTTTTATGAGGATAGTGAGGCTCAGGTTAGGGTGTGTACGAGAGAGGAAGATTACTTCCCAGTAAAAGTAGGTCTTAGACAGGGATGTGCAATGTCACCATGGTTGTTTAATATATTTATAGATAGGGTTGTAAAAGAAGTAAATACTAGGGTGTTCGGGAGAGGGGTGGGATTAAATTATGGGGAATCAGACAGAAAATGGGAGTTGACACAGTTACTTTTTGCTGACGATACTGTGCTTATGGGAGATTCTAAAGAAGAGTTGCAAAGGTTAGTGGATGAGTTTGGGAGGGTGTTGTAGAGGTACAAAGTTGAAAGTGAACATAGATAAGAGTAAGGTGATGAGGGTATCAAACAATTTACATAAAGAAAAATTGGATATTACACTGGAGAGAGGGAGTATGGAAGAAGTGAATGTTTTCACATATTTGGGAGTTGACTTGTCAGCAGATGGGTTCATGAAGGTTGAGGTTAACCATAGAATTGATGAAGGAAAAAAGGTGAGTGGTGCATTGAGGTATATGTGGAGACAAAAGAACATTATCCATGGAGGCAAAGAAGGGAATGTACAAAAGTATAGTGGTACCAACACTCTTATATGGGTGTGAAGCTTGGGTTGAAAATGCTGCAGCAACGAGGCAGCTGGAGGCAGTGAAGATGTCCTGTCTAAGGGCAATGTGTTGTGTAAATATTATGCAGAGAATTCGTAGTGTAGAAATTAGGAGATGTGGAGTTACTAAAAGTATTAGTAAGAGGACTGAAGAGGGGTTGTTGAGGTGGTTTGATCATTTAGAGAGAATGGATCAAAGCAGAATGACTTGGAGAGCATATAAATCTGTAGGGGAAGGAGGCGGAGTAGGGGTCATCCCCGAAAAAGTTGGAGGGAGGGGGTAAAGGAGGCTATGTGGGTGAGGGGCTTGGACTTCCAGCAAGCATGCATGAGCATGTTAGATAGGAGTGAATGGAGATGAAGAGTTTTTGGGACCTGACGAGCTGTTGGAGTGTGAGCTGGGTAATATTTTGTGAAGGGATTTAGGGAAACTGGTTAGCCGGACTTGAGTCCTGGAAATGGGAAGTACAATGCCTGCACTTTAAAGGAAGGGTTTGGGATAATGGCAGTTTGAAGGGACTTCTAATCTGTCGTATTTGAGCGCCTCTGCAAAGATAGTGATTATGTATGAGTGAGGTGAAGGTGTTGGATGATGAAAGTGTTTTTCTTTTTGGGGGATTTTCTTTCTTTTTGGGTTACCCTGCCTCGGTGGGAGACAACCAACGTGTTAAAAAAAAAATCTTCTGAAATGGTAGAAAATCTTTTTCTAAAGGTAATGGCAACTAAAACACAAAATTTGATGGAAAACTTATGGAACTGTGATGGCACAAATTTGGCAGTCTGGACATAATTTATGAATTGGCGATCTGCCTGTTTTAAGTTCGATTTTAAGCTAATTCCAATGCTCAACTCAACCCAATTTCTAGATAATTTGCTAGTATGTGTTCCATTTCATCAAGTGAGCCACCTATTCAACTATCAGCACTACCCTATAATATGCACATTTGGCCAATTTTACCCAAAATTACAATTTAAAAATATTCCAAAATCAAACACTGTATGCATACCAACTACTAAAGGAACCTTTCCTCTGTTCATTAATCAAGAGGGATTACCAACAGACCCCTGGCTGTCTTCAAGAAGGCACTGGACCAGCACCTAAAGTCAGTACCTGACCAACTGGGCTGTGGTTTATATGTCAGCTTGTGTGCAGCCAGCAGTAACAGCCTGGTTGATCAGACCCTGATCCACCATGAGGCCTGGTCTCAGACCGGGCCGCTGGGGCATTGACCCCAAAACCCTCTCCAGGTAAACTCCAGGTAAGACTCTCCAACATTACCTTTTGCCCTCCATTTTGAATCCCTCAGAACTAAAGTTTAATCATATTTCTTGGATAATAAAATATGAGCAAAAATGATTTGCCATGATGTATGGCATCCCAATAATTGAAACAGACCTAGTAAACCCCATTAAAAGACTAGGGGTGCTCAGGAAATCCATGGGGAAGCCAGGGGGGCTCTACCATTCATGAAAATTATCAAAAAATTGAATATTTCCACCATTTTCAGCCATATTTCAAGCTACTTCCAGTCTGAAATCAGTCAAAATCATCTCTATTTCAGTAATATGTTGTCCATTCCATCAATTGATATCAAGAAACAGAAATTAAAGGCTACAAAAACCATCCCAGTAAACACCTCAAATTTGCTATTTTACACCAAGCACAAGTTCAGAAGTTTGCTTTTCCAATCATGCATTATGTGATTCAAGATTTTTTATACTGTGTATAATCACTGCACAGACCCATTCTCTGGAGTTTACCTGAAGTTTACCTGGAGAGAGAGTTCCGGGGGTCAACGCCCCCATGGCCCGGTCTGTGACCAGGCCTCCTGGTGGATCAGAGCCTGATCAACCAGGCTGTTACTGCTGGCTGCACGCAATCCAACGTACAAGCCACAGCCTGGCTGGTCAGGTACCGACTTTAGGTGCTTGTCCAGTGCCAGCTTGAAGGCTGCCAGGGGTCTATTGGTAATCCCCCTTATGTACGCTGGGAGGTAGTTGAACAGTCTCGGGCCCCTGACACTTATTGTATTGTCTCTTAACATGCTAGTGACACCCCTGCTTTTCATTGGGGGGATGTTGCATTGTCTGCCAAGTCTTTTGCTTTCGTTGTGAGTGATTTTCATGTGCAAGTTCGGTACTAGTCCCTCTAGGATTTTCCAGGTGTATATAATCATGTATCTCTCCCGCCTGCATTCCAGGGAATACAGGTTCAGGAACTTCAAGCGCTTCCAGTAATTGAGGTGTTTTATCTCCGTTATGTGTGCCGTGAAGGTTCTCTGTACATTTTCTAGGTCAGCAATTTCATCTGCCTTGAAAGGTGCTGTTAGTGTGCAGCAATATTCCAGCCTAGATAGAACAAGCGACCTGAAGAGTGTCATCATGGGCTTGGCATCACTAGTTTTGAAGGTTCTCGTTATCCATCCTGTCATTTTTCTAGCAGCTGCGATTGATATAATGTTATGGTCCTTGAAGGTGAGATCCTCCGACATGATCACTCCCAGGTCTTTGATGTTGGTTTTTCGCTCTATTTTGTGGCCGGAATTTGTTTTGTACTCTAATGAAGTTTTAATTTCCTCGTGTTTACCATATCGGAGTAATTGAAATTTCTCATCGTTAAATTTCATATTGTTTTCTGCAGCCCACTGAAAGATTTGGTTGATGTCGCCTGAAGCCTTGCAGAGTCTGCAATGGAAGACACTGTCATGCAGATTCGGGTGTCATCTGCAAAGGAAGACACGGTGCTGTGGCTGACATCCTTGTCTATGTCGGATATGAGGATGAGAAACAAGATGGCAGCGAGTACTGTGCCTTGTGGAACAGAGCTTTTCACCGTAGCCACCTCGGACTTTACTCTGTTGACTACTACTCTCTGTGTTCTGTTTGTGAGGAAATTATAGATCCATCTACCAACTTTTCCTGTTATTCCTCTAGTATGCATTTTGTGCACTATTATGCCATGGTCACACTTGTCGAAGGCTTTTGCAAAGTCTGTATATATTACATCTGCATTCTTTTTGTCTTTTAGTGCATCTAGGACCTTGTCGTAGTGATCCAATAGTTGAGACAGACAGGAACGACCTGCTCTACACCCATGTTGCCCTGGGTTGTGTAATTGATGGGTTTCTAGATGGGTAGCGATCTTGCTTCTTAGGACCCTTTCAAAGATTTTTATGATATGGGATGTTAGTGCTATCGGTCTGTAGTTCTTTGCTATTGCTTTACTGCCCCCTTTGTGGAGTGGGGCTATGTCTGTTGTTTTTAGTAACTGTGGGACGACCCCCGTGTCCATGCTCCCTCTCCATAGGATGGTAAAAGCTTGTGATAGGGGCTTCTTGCAGTTCTTGATGAACACGGAGTTCCATGAGTCTGGCCCTGGGGCAGAGTGCATGGGCATGTCATTTATCGCC